GGGCCCCGCGTGTGCACTTGGTACTGGGCCCACGGGTGATGTCACCACCGGGGCCCCGCGTGTGCACTTGGTACTGGGCCCACGGGTGATGTCACCACCGGGGCCCCGCGTGTGCACTTGGTACTGGGCCCACGGGTGATGTCACCACCGGGGCCCCGCGTGTGCACTTGGTACTGGGCCCACGGGTGATGTCACCACCGGGGCCCCGCGTGTGCACTTGGTACTGGGCCCACGGGTGATGTCACCACCAGGGCCCCGCGTGTGCACTTGGTACTGGGCCCACGGGTGATGTCACCGCACCAGGGCCCTGCGTGTGCACTTGGTACTGGGCCCACGGGTGATGTCACCGCCAGGGCCCCACGTGGGCACTTGGTACTAGGCCCACGGGGGATGTCACCACACCGGGACCCGCGTGTGCACTTGGTACTGGGCCCATGGGGGATGTCACCACACCGGGGCCCCGCGTGTGCACTTGGTACTGGGCCCACGGGTGATGTCACCACCGGGGCCCCGCGTGTACACTTGGTACTGGGCCCACGGGGGATGTCACCGCACCGGGGCCCCGCGTGTGCACTTGGTACTGGGCCCATGGGTGATGTCGCCACTGGGACTCAGGCTCCAGATAAAGCTGTTGACTGTTTCCCGCTCACGTGTTGCCTCTGATTTCAAGCCCCCGGCCTCCTGGGCCAGCACCTAGCACAGGTGCCATATGTCCCCAGAATAGCACGCGGTGAAAATACTCCGATTAAAATAGTCTGGGTCCCAGTTTGGAAGAACAGTCTGCCAGCCGCCGCTGCTGGGGGCGATGCTAATGGAGTTATTTTTTGCTCCACGATTCCTTTCCTCGTCAGCACTTTGGTCGTCCCCCATCTTCCCGGCTCACTCATCCCCCTGAGGCCACAGTAGCCCCGATCCAGATCAGCGCCCTCCCACCTCAGCGCCACACTCCGCGGGGCTCTGGCCCTAACTGTGCTGTGATGGGGAGGCACCCCGGGCCCAGGGCCCTTGTTCTGCGTGGGAAGAGCACCAGTGCCTGTTTTTTGGGCTCGGCCACCTGCTGGGCAGGAGATGTGGCCGTGACAAACACACGGGCCTCGCCAGGCTGCACAGCCTCCCAGCCCAGAGGGAAAGGCAGACTCTCAAAGAGAACACTAGGGAACGTTGGGCTGGGCCAAAGGAATGAACAGATGCTGGGAAAGAGCAGGGGAGGGATCAGAATAACGTATCACAGAGGGCTTCCCGGAGGAGGTGACCTTTGAAATGCGCCTTGGTGCACGAGGAGGTACTTGACAACCAGATAACAAGGGGAAGGGTGTCTCTATCATAAAAACAAGCTACACTCATGCTGGGGGAGGGGTACCTGCAAAGCAGGGGTCCCCGAAAGAAATGAGAAACAGTCAGCTTTATTGAAGTTGCCCAGATTTTGAGGCTCAGAAAATTTGGAAGAAAGTATTTCAATTTTATCACACATGGATTTTGTGTCGTTTTGACATTTGAAAACCTGTTTCTGAATTAGCAGCGGTGAGCGGGGAGGTGTCTCGGTCCCGCCGTGTGTTCCGGGTGTGAATGATCTCAGCGAACTGGAGAAACACACCAGGTGGCCAAGGTGGCTGACGCCCACGCGTGTCAGGTGGGAGCAGTGAAACTGAGTGACAGGCAGGGCAGGGACCCCGCCCACGTGCCTTGGTCCTGAAATACCCTCCCATGGGTCCACCAATCAAATTTCCATCCATTCTTCAAGGCTCATTTGGTGTCACCTCCTGCAGGAAGCCCTCCTTCTTGCCCTCAGCCCTGCCCTGCACTGGGTGCTGTTTTTCCCTCCCCGGAAGCCCGTGTGTTCCCGAGCCCTTGCTCGCCCCGTGGCTTTGTGTGATATGTGATACTTGAGCAGTGAAGAGGCATGGACGCGTGAGTTTTTCAGTGATTTCTGCAGCGAGGTCACTTACGTGCCCCTGGGAGTGGAGAAAAGCAAACAATCCCCTTTGGAGTCGCAGCTGAGGTGGAGCTACTCATTCACTCATTCACTCATTCCTTCCTTCCTTCCTTCATTCATTCGTGCATCCGTGTCTCCACCAGGCCTGACCCAGATGCCAGTGGTTCTAAGAAGGACCGAAGCCCCACCCCTGTGCTCAGGGCAGTCAGAGGGGGGAGGTTGGGAAGTAAATAATAATTTCATCATAACATTTTGAAAAATGCATTGTAAGAAAAGCGCCTTACTTATTTTAAATTATTTGTTGATTTTGAGAGAGAGAAGCATCAGTTTTTGTCCCACTGATTCATGCATTCACTGGTTGATTCTTGTACGTGCCCTGACCGGGGATCGAACCTGCAACCTTGGTGTGTCAGGATGATGCTCTACCAGCTGAGCTGCTCCGCCAGGGCCGTGACAAAAGCACTTTCATGAGGGAAACCGGGCTTCCCTGGCCAGAGGCACGTCAGCATGCGAGTCACCGCCCTGCGGGGAGGGCAGAGCCCGGCCCGGAGCCTGGCCCGGATGCTGCGTGAACCCTGCGGTGTCCGGCGAGCTGTGTAGGGGTCTTGGTGACCCGTCGCGGTTTCCTGGTTGCCCGGGGAAGCCGGTGCGGCGTGGGGCATTGAGAAGCAGCAGGACGATGGTTATGCCAAGGAAGCCGCGGAGCCTCGAAGAGCTCGCAGCAGCCAGAGCCGGGCAATTTGGGCAACTCGGTAACAATATGACACCCACTTACAGCTCAGAGTCTAAAATGCATATTCATGAGTTCACAGCGATGCAAATGAATGTTGAACAAGTAAATAAACGGGGAGAAGAGAGGAATCTCCCAATCTCCCCCCGTCCCCCGTGTGGAAGAATTCCCAGTAATGACTGCAGCTACTCCCCCCCCCCTGGAGGGAGCCCACCCCCACTCCTCAGGTGTGGGCTGTGCCCAGGTGTCCCCCACAGGACAGTGAGGTGCAGCACAGAAAGCCGTGCCCACCCCTCCCTGCCGCACCCCCTGAAACCCTGGGCTCGGGAGTCACGCTCACACCTGCACCTCGGCTCCCTCCTGCCTGGCCGGTGGCCTCGGCGGTTGGCCTCCTGTCTCTGCGCCTCGGTTTCCCCGCCTGCCCCGCGAGGCACCCCTGGTGTCATTGGAGTCGCCTCGTGGAGTTCGGAGGAGGACGGCCTGGCCAAGGCCTGTTAGGCTGTCACCGCAGGGGCACCCCACTCTGCAGACGAGGAAGCTGAGGCACAGCATGGGGCGTGGCTGTGTGGCCGAGGCAGCGGAGCCCTGGCGTCCGAGCGTGGCC